TTTCCAGTGGTTTAGCTTGGTACATTAACGGCTATATGACACCGGAACTGTATTTAAAACGAGGACTTACATATGCCTTCAAGGTAAATATGAGCAAGCATGAGCTATGAAACCTTTTGAAACCCTTTGAAGACCGAATTATGTTGGGTGGGGCTAATTAATACACGAAAATCTATTAACACTTTGAATTTTCTCTACCACTCAGGTGCGCGGTGGCAACAATCCACATTCGCCGGAACATTATCATCCCATGGTGATAACAGATGAACCTCATGGTGGCTACGATCGGCTCAGCGATGCAAAACAGAGTGAAATTCGCGTTTTGGCGGGTGTTGAATTTACTCGACGCGGTCGTCCCAAGCCAACAGCTGCCGGACCGTTATGCCTCTCTAAGTATCCCATTAATTATGATCGTCGTTTGGATGATAACTTTCCCAGTTTCAAAAAGTTCAATCGTTCGCTAATTAATATTTGTCCCAATGAAGAGCCCGCCATATTGGAGATCACACCGAATATCACTTGGCCCGACATTGTGTACTATAATAGCTTTACACACGCCAATATGGGTTGGAAAATACACATAGTCGACAGTCTTTCCAATTTACGTAATGGAGCACTTACAAATTTGATAATGCTGCCGACAAGACTAGTATTGTTGTTGTGGTGCTTTGGATTTTGCGCAAACGTAGTACTACTTGGGCATTGATGGCGCCAGCGACTTCTATGTATGAGAAAAAAAGTTAACAATTGTGAGAACTAAAAAAGTAAAAGTTGTGGCGGGGTCCCTTTAATATAAATACCATGTTTGACTGATTTCAAAACTGTTTTTTTTCATTATATGTATGTATACATAAAATGTATACTTTTAGTTGAGGATAACGTGAATTTCATATAAATACGAGTTCTTACATATATATATATATATGCACGCACTAGTTGTAAAAGTCAAATTGTAATGCAGCGTAACGCATTTCTGTGTAAATAAAGAAATGATTTGATAATTGTAGAAAAATGTGTACAGACGTACTACTCATGTAAACCTTTTTGATTTATTTAAATTGGCGGATGGTTGGTATCAAGGCACATTAAACAGGTAGTATCAGTAGAGCAAAAACAACATTTG